GTGTGTGTGTGTGTGTGTGTGTGTGTGTGTGTATTCTTATTTACTCTACTGAAAAAATTCAATTGAGATCTTAATGAAGATCTTATATTTATAAAATAATTGGATATACTCTCTCTGTTTTCTACATAAATATACTTGCTTGTAGAACAGTTCGCATACTTTTTTCAACGAAACTTGCAGTATTTCACGTATTGTCACAATTCTAATTCACTGATTACTGGTATGCATAGTAATTATTAAAAATAATAAGATCAAGATATGATTAATATATTCGATAGTAAGTAATACATCTACTGTGTATTAATTATAAAATATTTAGATATACTGTTGTTTAGATAAATATTTATATTTACTTGCAGAACAGATGTATACTTACTTGCAGAACAAGGCACACATATTTTTCAACGAAACTTGCAGCACAATCCACTCTACCTGCACACGAATGTTCTGTCATTGTTAATATTAATATTAAATCAAGAAATATTAAGCATCAATCAATGGGTGCTTTCCAATTGCTTAACACATCTTGACACACAAGTACACAAAAACAGTTTATTGGTCACATATTACTAAATTGTAAGAGAATATGCAACCAATAAATTTTGTGTAACACAGTGTACGCAATATAATATTGGAAAGCACCCAATATAATCAACAAGGAACACAGTATGTAAACAGACATAATCTGGTTAGATCAGCAGACTCTATCGATAGAAGACGGGCTGCAATTAAATAATAACTTAATAATTAGTTAAACATACTTTGATAGTAAAATCTTCTTCTTTTGTTTCTTTTTGTCTTCTTTTCTTCATATTTTGTTATTATAGCACTTTTCTATTAAAAACGTATGTTATCAATAAGTTATTATGCTTTTTCTCTCTGTCTCTCACTCATGCTATCACTCTCACGCACCGTTCTTAATCTCTCCCTCTCTCTCTCTCTCTCTCGTTTTCTTTTTATACAGCTGTGTGTGTATATGTACGTGTGTCGTATAGCATGCTCATTATCATCATGGGTCACGTGACAGATACAATCTAGTTTCCGATCCGCAACCGTACATCCTAGCGTCGACGAATTCTGAGATGGTTTTTTCTAATTTCTGACTTTAAGCTAAAATATCTCGTCTTATAGGAGATGTAAAGGATTTTGTTCTGTTTAACCTAATTTATCAGTACACCGCAGTTCTTCTGTGAGTTACTATGTGAGACACCCTGTATAAGAGCGTTAAGAATAAGATTACATTTTTGACATCGCTCGATTTTCACACAGTAAACGTGAAACAAATCTAAGGGGAAATTTGTGACACACAATTGTTGTATTGTATATAAGTTTGCGAGGGATATACGTATTTATTCATTGGATTTAGCGCGAATCGATAAATTCTCGATACTATTCGCATTGCATATATTCTCCTTTATCGGTGAATAGAACGGAGAATCCCGATCCGGAACTGACCGAGTTGGTTATTCCCATTGCGGGAAGAAGTTTGCTCCCGTACTGCCACTTCGACGTACCGGAAAGCGACTATCCGTCGGACGGTAGACGCGACGCGAAACTACCAGGTCCCATCGATTATCAAGCAGCAACCGATGGCTCGCTTCCGCCAGATACAAGAGTAATTGAGTTCAACGTGGTCGGGATCGGTGAGACTCATGTGAGGTACGCGATTTGAGGAAATTCAAATGACAAAAGCGGGTGCAAACGCGAACTCGAATGAAAAGATTCAAATATAAATCACTCAGTAAGCAAAGAATCATTGACATTGAACGTTATTGCAACGATATTTACTAACATGTGATTTCTAAAAAATATATAGTTTTTAACGTTATATGAACACATTATAAAGTTGTTCCTCGCTTCTGACGTTAAAAATTTAACGTAGCTACGGCAAGATACAAGAAGCCTTAATGCATTCTTTGTAGACGTACACAATGCTTGTGTAGCATTATATCTTGGCACAAGATAGCAAGATGATTACGTATGCAATTTTTGATGATAAATATTATGAGAAAGAAAATAATACGCGTTTTTTTGCCTTCAATCTTATATTATTTTGAAATTACAAAGGTAGCATATTTAGATCCTTTCCTCAAATAGTGGAAATTTCTCTCTTTTCTCTCATTTCGAAAAATTGTGAATAATTAAAAATCCAATAATTTTAAAGATATCCTCTTTTACAAATACTGAAATAGACATATTGTTTACTTAATAGCATATATATATAAAGCATATATATAATAGCATATATATAATAGCATATATATATATATATATATATATATATATATATATATATATATATATATCAAAAATTCGGCGACAAGAAAAGAAAGCTCTGTTACTACAATTATAAACGTTTGTCTGAATATTTTCGGCAGTTTTAAAACTTCTTTAGGACGAGTGGAAATAATAAGTTGAATATAGAAATCTCGTGCAGGAATTTTTATGTTCCTGTACCCAAGATTTTGTTTACTCTCCAAACAATAGAAAAACAGTTACATGAACCGTTTTCTTCCGTGCTATTGACGGTATCTTTATTATCGTTTAGATAACGAATTCAACTTTCACTTTAGGACGAATATCCATCGGAATATCCCTGATGGGAAGATTTATTGGTTTACACTTGATATCCTTCTCAAATTTATTTTATTTTTCAAAGATTTTACATTTCTTTTATCGCTACGTGTCGAGTCCGACTAACAATAAGTCTCATGTCTGGGCACCGAGACTAAGCAGAGAACTGGCCGGGCAGCCTCTCGGGGTAACCATCAACAAGTTCAGATCACGGACGCGTCGCTACTACGAAGCATTTCGTATTCAGGTGTCTTATTTCCGCTTTTGGGATGGTTCGTTTCTGGATTGACATCTGTGACGGAGGCCAACCTCAGAAATGTTTTGATCGTTGACCCCTGATCGTTTGTTCTTGCTGATTTTTCACTTTGGTCGTTTCCAATATCCTGAGCCACCGATCAGCGTTGCATCCCCCCCCCCCCCCCCCGCCCCCC